CGAGCACTATAGCTGGGGTGCCGAGCACTTCAGGTGCTGTGCCGACCACTCCGGCGAAACACGGGACTCCATCGACGCTGATCAAGTTTGTCTCACCTCCAAGCGACATCACTGAGTTCATGGATGCCTTCCACGACGGTGAGGAGGTGCGGTTCCGTAGGCTGGACGACATCAGCGGTGGCACAGGGTCCTCAGGCCTGGCGGGTCGGCTGCTCAATGACCCAGAGCTGCTTCTCGTCAGTGCAGAGGAACCACCCACGTTTGCGTTGGCCGAGTGCGATGCAAATTGGCTACGGGCGATGCTAGAGAAGATGAAGGTTGTTGGCCCCTGGTTCTCCTGCTCGGGTGAACCGACCGCTCATCGGCGTTGCCGACCACACACTATGGCTAGAAGTAGAAGAAGGGAGGAAGAACAGAGCGCACACACACAGCACAAGCACCAGCATTGGCCGGAGCTCTGCAGAGGAGATGGCAAAACTAAACTCGCTCAACTTTACTGAGTTGCAGTGGGAAACTATATATATAACTCTACCCATCAAATCCTAGTATACAGACATGTCAGGCTGTCATGCTGCTATAGTGACTAGATGTGACAGCAGTGCTAACTTTGACGGCTGCTCCTGCTGTGGCTACAGTGCGACAGGGGAGCCTTTCGACGTCTGCCCCTGTCGCGGCTACAGTGCAGTGGCAGGAGAGCCCTTTTGGCTCCTGCCCCTACCACGGCGTACAAAGGAGGGCAACAGATTATTTAACATGATCCAAGCTTTGCACAAGAAAAAAACAACCAGTCCTATTTATTAAATTGGACATTTCAAAGACTTTTGACTCCATCGGATGGCAATATTTGTTAGAAGTTCTCACAGCCTTGGGGTTCAGTACAAAATGGCGGAACTGGATATCTTCGATCCTGGGATCCTCATCCTCGAGAATACTTATTAATGGCAGGCCGAACCAAAATATCAAACATGTCAAAGGGCTAAGACAAGGGGATCCGCTCTCGCCATTGCTCTTTATAATTGGGATTGATCCACTCCAAAGGATTCTGGAGAAGGCGGCCCAGCAAGGATTACTGCAGCCGGTGCTCCCAAAGCATACTAAATTAAGGTGCCCTCTATACGCAGATGACGCGGCCTTTTTTGCAAATCCATCTGCTACTGAGTTGGACAGGCTAAGAAATATACTGCATGTCTGCATAGTTTTGGAGAATGCTCAGGCCTGAAAATTAACATGTCCAGAACTGAAATCTTTCCGATCAGGATGCAGGCCAGCATGATGCATACAATTGTGCAAAATTTCCCGGGTAAGATTGGTACCTTTCCTGGCAAATACCTGGGCCTCCCATTGCACACGAGAAAATTAAGAAAAATAGAAGTTCAACCTCTCATCGATAAGATTGGAGCAAGATTGCCCGGATGGAAAGGCAAATTCCTATCATCCTCAGGAAGAGAGACATTGGTTAAAACTGTGCTATCAAGCTTACCGATATACCATCTGACAGTTTTCCAAGCACAAAAATGGCTCATAAAGAGAATTGATCGTATTAGAAGAAGTTTTCTGTGGAGGGGAGAGAACCCGGACAATGTGAGGGGTGGCCACTCGTTAATAAATTGGCCAACCACGTGTTTGCCTAAGGTAAAAGGTGGATTAGGAATCTTGGATTTGGAAAGATTTACAAGAGCACTCAGGCTGAGGTGGCTATGGTTCACATGGAACCAAAAACAAAGAGCTTGGAATCAGTTGGAAATCCCGTGCGATAGAATAGACCGAGAGCTCTTCTATGCATCAACTGTGGTGACCGTAGGAGATGGTCAGACGGCACCTTTCTGGTGCTCCAATTGGATAAATGGGACTATGGCAAAATCGATTGCACCGTTACTGTATGAGAAGACGAGACGGAAGAAAATCACAGTGCACCAGGCGCTAACACAGAACAAGTGGATTGATCATGTGTACCCACCAACCACACAAGAAGAGGTAATACAGTTTGTCAGGCTTTGGGAGGCGCTAAGAGGGGTTGTGCTAAACAATATGGTCGAGGATGATATTAGATGGAGATGGACAGCACATGGCGTGTATACCACACAAAGTGCGTACCAGGCTCAGTTCACTGGAGTATTCAGTAGGATCAAAATAACTCCGATTTGGTGCATGCTTAGTTCCCAAAATTTTGTAAAATTTTTCAAGATTCCCCGTCACATCGAATCTTTGGACGCATGCATGAAGCATTAAATATAAATATAAAATAAAACTAATTACATAGTTTAGACGAAATTCACGAGACGAATCTTTTAAACCTAATTAGACTATGATTGGACACTAATTGCAAAATAACGACGAAAGTGCTATAGTACCATTTTCCAAAAAATTTCACCAACTAAACAAGGGGCCTGTTCGCTGGTTGGGGCTGGTGCTGGTTTGGGCTGGCTGGTGCTGATTTTTTGTGAGAGAAAAACACTGTTGGCTGGCTGGTTTGGGCTGGCTGAAACCAACCAGCGAACAGGCTGAAGGTGGAAGGCCAAAGCGGAGCACAAATGTCGTTTCTTTGCCTGGACGTTACTGCATAAGAAGATACGAACTGCAAACAACCTATTTAAAAGAGGATGGACTGAAGATACCGATTGTAAGCTTTGTAACAACAATCAGGAAACTCCTGTTCACTTATGCAAAGATTGCCCATTTGCAAAGGAGGTTTGGACAATCCTAAAGCAATGGCTGAACCTGTCCGTGTTAGATTCAGTTAACAGTCAAGGCTCAATTTATACCTTTTGGAGGAGATGTCGGCGCAAATTTGATAAAAACCAAAGGAGGGAGGTAGATGGCATTCTAATCTATTTCTGGTGGAATGTTTGGAAAGAAAGAAACAGAAGGATCTTCCAACATAAAAAGCTAAATCCGATTCAAGTGGCTGCACTATGCAATGATGACATCACGCAGTATCGACTGGCAGTGGCGCCGAGGCAGCAATTTTCCCAAGTTGACCAAGACTAGTTGCTCAAATAGCAGTCTTTCAGTTTTGTTGCCAGTTTTCTTCAGTCTTTTGTTGTCGTCTTTCAGTTGCGTTCTTCTTAGTCTCTCGGAGTAGCCTCTGAGGCAGTGGTGTTTTTATCGCTGTGTAGGGTGGTGTGGCTTGGACAGTCCACTTTGGATTGTCTTTCTGTAATTATGGTTTGTATAGCTTTTTTCTTTTCATCGTCTAATACAAAATGCGGCCAAACTTTTGCTGCCCTTTCAAAAAAAAAAAACGTATGTACGCACGTGGCCCGGTGGCCCGCAGATGAGCTGGTTGAAATTCTCGGCCCAGTTAGGTGCACTGCATCATTCTTCTACTTTTTTTTTTCTCCAAACTATCGCCGGAGTCTACGTTTCCTCTTCAAACTCCAAAACTGCACAAACTTAGTCTGTCAACAATCAAAACCATTTATACTATCTCCCTACCCAGTTAGAAGTGATTTTCAAAGGCGGTTTAAACACCTAATGATGCTTTCAAACCAAAAAAAATATCACTAAGCTCTTAATTTTTTTTGATAAAAACAATAGAGAGATTGGGATACGAGAACCCAACTAAAATACTTAGAACTCATGAAAATATCTCTAGAAGCTTCTAGAAAATAGATTTGTCTTAGAAAAATGAAAAACATCCAAAGAAAAATATAAAAAATCCTAAAACGATCTACCCGATGTGTAAACACGTTTTGAAATCTTTTGACAACAAAAATATGCTATGCAACATACACTAATGTCAAATGCATTCATTCTGGTTTTCTCTCTTTTGTTGTGAGAAGTTTTCAAAAATGCAATTGGACATAGCCAAGAATGTTTTATAAATTCTTTTAGATTTTTCAGTATATTTTTCATTTAACTAGAGATATATCCTATTTTTGGAAGCTTCTCTAGAGATATGTCCATGAGCTCTAAGTAATTTTATTTTATTTGGGTTTCTAGTGTCCCAATCTATCTCTAAATTTATTCTCGGAATTGGATAAAAGTCTGCCAAAAAAAGCATGAGCACCAGACGATCCGCTGCCTTAAAAGATATACACTGTCAGATCATACAGTGCTACTAGCCATTGTGTCTTTCCATACATCGGAATATCTATTGCTTACATTTTCATCTACCACCAGAGTGTCCGGCTGAGTATAAAATGCACTAGACACCTTTACTAATTATCATCGGACGGACCACTGCTCCTCATTTTTCTTTCATTGGACTGTCCAGTGCTATCTTCCATCCTAGGCTGCACAGTGACCAAGCTACTGGTCTAACATCGCCTGACGATCCACTGATGTGCACCTCTTCTTCACTGGGTCGTCAGGTGCGTGTATTTTTCCTGGGTGCCTATCGGCGCCACCCTGTCGACCCGCGGTTTGATCAAGCTCTTGATGATCTCATCGCTCAATTCGTCCGCCTTGACAGGGTTCAGCTTTATTCCATGGGAGCGGCCGTGTTGGAAGTAGGATTTTGACATGAAAGACATGAGCTATAAATAAGTTCTCGGTGCATGCCTTCCTCTGTGTCATATGGTAAAGACGATTCCTTGAGTAGTTTGATTCAAATGAAGTAGTTAGCCTACTCCCTCAGTTTATGAATAAATTTATAATTGTTGTAAATCAAAAAAAAGTTTGATCAATGTTATATAAAGAATACCAACGAAATGACTTTATTATGAAAATACATTTCGTGGTTTATCTAATCTAATTATACTAGTTTTATACCATATATATAACTATTAGTGACTGACACAAATCTGTCTGACTTGTGTTAGCTAAAAGTCAGTTAGACAGACGCAAGACATCCGACACATATATGGAATATTACGACAAGTGCAGGAGTTTTCCCTAGTAAAAGGTAGGTTCAATAAACAAAAATAGATAAAGGCTATGGCCATATACACACTAGCCATGAAGCCAAGACAAAAGTCACGTGATACGGTGATAGCAATATTTAGCATCCATTGCTGTTAACAGATACAGCTCGAGCCTTTATTTCACCCCGTTGCTCTTTACTTCTCGGCCTCCTGCACCATGCGCGCGATTTCCTCCTTGCGCAGTCGGCCGCCGTGGTTAACGATGGTGATGCTATTCTTATTCCCAGTGTCCCTGTCCTCCGCGGACACCTTCATGACGCCGTTTGCATCGATATCGAGGGTGACATCAAACTTAGGTACACCCTCCGGTGCCGGGGGTACATCGGTGAGCTTGAACGTGCCGAGCAGGTTGTTGTCCCTGGTGTCTGCGCTCTCGCCCTCGTACACTGGTAAGGAAACAGTAGTCTGGTTGTCATAGTTAGTAGTGAAGCCCTGCACCTTCTTGGTCGGGATGGCGGTGTTCCTCGGGATCACCATTTTCATTGTACTATAATCATCTCTGATCGCTATCCCAAGCGAGAGTGGCGTAACGTCGCGCAGAAGCATATCCACTAATCTCCCATCGTCAGTTGCACCACTGAGAATAGAGGCCTGGATGGCAGCACCGTAAGCAACAGCTTCATCAGGGTTGATGCTCCGGTAAAGCTCCTTCCCATAGAAGAAATCCCGAAGCATGCTCTGCACCTTGGGGATACGGGTGGAGCCGCCCACGAGGACGACGTCGTGGACGCTGCTCTTGTCCATCTTGGCATCACATAAGCACTTATCCAGAGCCTTCATGCACTTGCTGAAAAGATCCTTGTTGAGCTCCTCGAATCGAGATCGGGTGATGGTGGTGCAGAAGTCAATGCCGTCATGGAGTGAGTCGACCTCAATGGTGGTCTGTGCGGTGGAAGACAGCATCCTCTTTGCTCTCTCGCAGGCAGTCCTCAGCCGCCGAAGCGCCTTCTGGTTGCTATGGATGTCCATCCTCCCGTGTTTCCGTGTAAATTCCCGGAGAGAGTATTTCACCATCTCGTTGTCGAAGTCCGCCCCGCCAAAAGGTGAGCATCAAAGGTACCACCACCAAGATCAAAAACGAGAACTGTCCTTCGTTTGTTGCTGACTGGCATCTTCTCAAGACCATATGCAAGGGCAGCGGCGGTTGGCTCATTGATAATGCGCATGACATTTAGGCCGGCAATGGCACCGGCGTCAATGGTAGCCTGGCGCTGGGAGTTGTTGAAGTAGACAGGCACGGTGATGACAGCGTTCTTGATCTTTTTACCGAGATATACCTCGGCTGTCTCTCTCATCTTGACCAGCACCATGGAGGAGATCTGCTCAGGCATGAACTGCTTCTCCTTGCCTTCATGCTGCACAACGATCATTGGTCGTTCGTCATTACCTGCGACGACTTTGAAAGGTCACAACTTGACATCTTCTTGTACAGACTCGGCGCTGAACCAGCGGCCAATTAGTCGCTTCACCTCTGTAGAAAATTAGCCATGTAGTCAATAGAGTGAAGCATAAATGGCATAGCAGCAGTAGTTTGTACTATGCGTTTGAAAAATATTCTACAAAGTAATAAAGGTTTGATTTGAAATACAACAGATATTAGGTTTGGTCCTACTAATACACTGTAATTTTCCATCATTTCCAGTTCAAAAGAACTAATGCCGAGACCTTATATTAACTTTTTCATGAAATCATGATTACATTATCTCAGTTGTCATGTTTAATCCTTCAATCCTTGGTATATACTTGATCCACTTCATATGCAAGAATTCAGTGAGTTGTTTTGAAAGAAAGGTGTGCACTGTACATCATGAGACGAAAGTGAATCTAGTAATAGTGATAGTGATAGTGATTAATGATTATACACAAACTAAACAGCCGCGCAGGAGACAGTAAGTCACCGCAAAACGAAGTTAAAAAATGTCAGAAATATAATGTGGACATGCAGGCAGAGAAATTTAAGAGCCATGCTTGTTGCCAGGATATGAACAAACTATTGCGCCTGCTTGTGCTTGAATAATAAACATTGAAGCTGAGATGGAGCAGCAAACTTTATATGCTTCCTATTTCCAAACAGTTGATAGATCTGTTCATAAACATTGCACTCAATCTAGCTACACAGGCACAGTTGATAGATCTGTGACGCAAATTAATCAGCGCGCGAGTGCACACGCGTGACGATCGAAGAAAATAACAAGTTATATAAGCGAGTGATAATAAAACAGCTGGTGTGCAGTTCTCACCGAAGATGGTGTTGGTGGGGTTCAAGGCGGCCTGGTTCACCGCCGCCTCGCCGACGAGCTTCTCGGCGTTGGTGAACGCCACGCACGACGGCCTGAGGCGGTTGACCTGGTCGTTGGCGATGGCCTCACCGCGGTCGTGCCGCCACACGGCCACGCACGAGTAGGTCGTCCCCAGGTCGATGCCGATCACCGGCCCGTCGACCTTCGAGGCCGCCATCTCAACAGTCAGAGGAGAGCAAAGTAGAAAGTAGTCGGAATTTATGGGTGTGCGCATATGCGAAATAAATGGATGCCGCTTCGATACATGTGCGTGCTAGGGCAACCGTCCTCTCCACGAGTTCTTTGGCTGGGCTTTTGCTATAGACCGAATGTCTGACCGGTTGGATGCCCCGCACTCCCATACTCCGCCCACTTCCTTGGCTCCGTCTGCTTCCCCGCACCCTCTCCCCCTCACTCGCTCTTCTCCGTGCCGCTCCCCCACACCCGCTCCCCCTCCGCGCCGCTTTCCTGCACACTCTCCGCGCCGTCACTGGGATTGGGAAGACCGCGTCCACGAGCTCGCAGCGCGCCCACGCCCGCTGGTGCTCCCTTCCTCCCTCCATCTCTCGTCCACCGCGACCTCCATGCACCCCCACTGTCCCTGTGACCCGGCTCCCACACTCCACCGGAGACGAGGACGACGGCGGTGGCTCCAACGAGGTAGGTGGCGGAGGGATCTGGATCTGAGGCCTGCTCCTCCTCCTCTAGATCTGGCTCTAAGCCCTCCTCCCTCCTCTGGATCTGAGCCCTCCTCCTCCTCCTCCTCCTCTGGATCTAAGGGAAGCGGCGGTGGCTAGGGTTCCGGTGAGCTCTCGGGGTCAGATCTCGCCGTGTTGCAATGTGTTTTTTTATGTTGCAACAGATGATTTCGAATGTTGCAATGTGATTTTTTTGTTGTTGTTGCAACAGATGTTTTTGCAATGTTGCAGTAGTACTGCTTGAGATGTTGTAGTATGTTTCAGTTGCTTCAATCTTATGTTGCAGTAGTTGTTCCATATTATTGCAAGTGTTTTTATTTTCGAGCGTTGTTCATATGCTTCACACCAGTGTTGCAATAATATGTTCCAAATATTTCAGCTCCTTCAATCTATTGTTGCAGCAGTTTGCTCGATGTTGTTGCAATAAGATGTTCATGGTGTTTCAACTGCTTCAGCCTAATATTTCAGTTGTTGTTCCTTGTTGTTGCAATAATATGTTCATGTTGTTTCAACTGCTTCATCCTAATGTTGCAGTTGTTGTTCCTTGTTGTTGCAATCTATATGTTCATGGTGTTTCAGCTGTTTCAGCATAATATTGCAGTAGTTGTTTCCGTGTTGTTGCACGTGTTTTTATTCCAGCTTTCTATGTTGTTCGGCCAGGGAGGGGCGAGCCGGGACGGACGGGGGCGCGTGGTTCGCACGGGCCTAATGGCGCGAAGTCTTTGGGGCCGCGACGCGGGTGATGTGGCCATGGGGGGTGCTGGGCATGCAGCATGCTTTGTCGCGGGCGTGGGGCAGACGCGATGGGCTGCGGGGCGATCTGGGGGCGTACAGACTCGCGTGGCACATAGGCTAGCGGGGCTCTTTGTAGGCATCGTGGGTCGCGGGTTCGTCGGTGTTAGCAGGGCTCTTCGTTCGACGAAGACTTGATGGGCGGTAGTTCGTCTTGGTAGCGATCTCGTGGCGGCGGCGGTCCGGTGGGCCCGCTCCTTCGCGCACGTCGCCGGGGACGTCTTTGGTAGCGTCTTGGTGTGGAACTAAGAAGAAGGAAGAAGCGGCGCTGGGGAGTCGTCCATGGAACCGTCCGATGAATCCGTATCCATCGGACGTCCGGGCGCCGGCGCTCCCCTTAAAAGGCCGTCTATCTGGTAGGTGTGGCACCCTCGAATCCAAACTATAATCACGATCTAAAACAAAAAAGGAACTACCCGGGCTCAGTCATCCCACTATCGACTATGTACAGGCGTACAGTCCATTATTAGAGATCAAATGTGCTGTTTTTTTTCTTTTCCTTTTTTCCCAATACTTTCAACTAATTCATCACTCATTATAAAAGACAATAATGATAGTTATGGATGTTGATATGTTTATTCAAACATTAACAATAAATTGTTTAAACAATTTGCAAGAACAATTCTAACAATTAGGAAGGAAAGTTCTAACACACAAAATGCACGGAGGAAACTGTGGGGCAAGCAAGGAAGAGGACAGCGCTTTCCAAAGGCTAGGCAACAAACACAGTAAGGAAGACGAAGGAGCTGCCAAGCCGGGTCTTCCACACATGACTCCCAATAAAGGAGTGCTCATGGTCATTTCATTTTCTTTTATCTATTATGAGAAGCTGTTTTGCTAAACATGTGTCAAAATGGCTTCGACTCTGACTGTAGAGCTGTTCGTGGAGCTAAAGTAAAAAAAAAAAACGACTTCACTGGTAAAGTAAAACCGTGCCAAACAGCGCCTTATTAATTACCTTGCCACTGCCTAATTGTAGAATACAAGACTCGTGGCCTTGGGTTTTCGGATATTAGTTCTCCCTAAAAGTACATCGTCGTTGTTATCGCAGTGGATGATTAGTGCTACTTTCATGCAACTTATATCGTGTTATACATACATGTATATGACCGTAGCCTATTAGCAGGAGCTGTTAGTTTATGGAACATGGTTTAATAGTTGATAGTGAAGTAACCTTTCTACTACCTCTGTTGGATAATCTACATCTGCAGTACCAATTTTATCTCGGTCATGGATTCAGCGCTCTCTGCACAAAGAGCTATCTTCGTGAAAACATGGTACACCACCAAGAGTGATTATTCCATCATTTAAAAAGAGGAAAATGTTCATTACATGGCCCTCAACCAACCAAAACTGGAACTGGGCAAAAACTGCAATTCACAAGCTAACAAGCAACAGTAAAACTTACAAAGCTCAAAAACATATCCAAACAGGCAGTATAGATAGAAAACATAACTGTGATGTGCCTTCATTGGATGAGAAGAAAACCGTATCAATATACTGCTGATATATTACTGTTTGGCATAGAATTATTTGCTGACCATTGTCCAATCTAAGCAAACACTCATTAATGCTCCATTTTAGCAAAGCTACTCTGAAGAAAATAATTGTCTTCCTGCAATTCAATACAAGGCAGTATAGCTTGATGAGGAAATGATCTCAAAATCATTGCACCTAGAGCCCTAGAGGAACTTGCCCCGCCCAAGTCGCTGGAGATGGTAATTGATGGTCTTTGCTGCGTTCTTTGGCCTCCCCTTCTGCAATCACGTCACAAGCAGGCATTAGGAGCAGAAGAATTGCTGGGTTAGCGCTTTGACAAAACAATGCCAAGGATGACAAAACAATGTCTAAGGATGCAAAACACAAGTAGCGATGTGGATAGTAACCTGTGTCTGAGTGCATTGAACCAAAAGATCCTTCTGCCTGATGCACTTGTCATCATTCTGTTTGTTTAAGGCCAGACAGTTGAGGAAGGCCACCATTTCTGGCATGCAAGGCTTCGCGACAGCACCAAACTTCTTTGGGTTTATGTACAAAGCACCAGCCTTCCGACCCATTCTGCTGCTTCACCTTCACCTTCATGGATGTGATCAATATGTGTGATTAGATCAACAGCGTGTGAGAATAGCTCTAAATCCCACTTCAGCAACACAGTACACACAGAAATTCAAAGAGCAACAAATCGATGTGGGAGATGAAATGTTTGTAGAAAACCCCAGGGTAGAAGTAGAACGAAAGGTGCTTGAATACATGTGCAAAAAATATGTGCTAGGTACGGCATGGACCATATAAACACTGCGCATTATCCAGTTTAAGCATAGTGATTCGAACAGCAGAAAGCAAGCAAAGCATCAGTCAATGTGATTCTCCATAGTCAATACAGAGACCATGTCTAAGAGGTAGCAACTTTGAACCGTCAGAACACCTGCAGACGAATACGAGTACGAAAACTGAACAATAATAAAACGCAAGCTTCGATACGGATAAGTTACTAATTTCCTTCGCAGAAGCATTCGGTCGAACAGGTTGCAGGCGCCATCAAAGTTGTCCCAACAGGCGGAAACACCTCAACACCACAGAAGAGGCAACCGAGCGGCGGTGAGGAGTAACGCCCCGGCACAGAGACGGAGTCGGCTCACGGCAGGCTAAGGTTGACAGGCGGGTCAGATCTGCCGAGTGGCAACCGAAACCCGTGGGTGGGGATTCTTACCGCGGCGGGTCGAAGCACACGTCCGGAAGGGGTAATCCATGACGGAGAAAGGGAGGGGAGGTGAAGGGACCGAGACGCGTACCTGGAGAAGGAGCCTGCGACGGGTAGACGGCCGGCAGCGGCGACGGGGGTGCGAGAGCTTAGGAGGCGGCGTTCTTGAGAGCGTACGAGCAGTTTCTGGAAGGTGAGGTGGACCGTGGATGTCCAAGTTGGGCTTAAGTGACTTGATGAGGTGAGTGGGCCTTATTTTTAAGAAGACAGTGTTACGAGGGAGCTTTGTTCACAGCCCATTGAAGTCATTGTAGGAAGGAACATTACAGAAAGGCCCATATTTGAGATCTTTAACGTGACCAAAAGTGTCTTCATTCCTTTCAAATAAAAAAACGTCTTCATTTTTTGTGTTCAAAACCTGCTGCAACGCTCAGGAATTTTGTTTTACCAAAAAAAGAGTTGCCAAAAAAAAAATGATAAACTCCCGCACGAACCGAATCGATTTAATTCCCAGAGGGAACAGGGTAGGGCCAAAACCTCGGACAATCTCCCATATGCTGACTTCTTGCGAACTAGTGAAGTCTCGTACTCGTATTCGGCTGAACTGCACAACTGCTGTGGCGGCGGGCTGTGGCTGCCAACAGTTTCAGCAGGGAACTGTACCACAAGCAGCGGCGGCGGCTGTTTAGCCGCAGCTGGCACATCCGTGGAAGTGATGAAACAACAATATCGGGCGTGATTGGTTGCCGAACCAAGCCGTCATATGGCCCATCTCGCACCCTTTGGTGCGTTTCGCCTGTGTTTGGTTGCGCTACTCGCACTTTTCTCCTGCTTCCTCTCGTGCAGATGTCCTCCTCCATCCCGGACGATGCCGTCTTCTCGATCCCCACTTTCCTCTCGGTGCAGGCTCGCGCGGTGCTTGGCGGGAACCTTTTCAGAGAGCGCGGGAGATGAGGCCGTCTTGGCGATAAAGCGCGCGCAGGGGTC